CCCAAAATTTATTTTTCTTATGGAACTTTTTTGATTTTATATGCAAGCATATTGTTGTCTATCACTCATATAATTTACAAACCAATGAAGGATATTCCCTCTAATCCCGAAATTAAAAAAAGTTATTTGCATTTTCCAGGTATACCACAGATACGTATAAGCAGACCTTCAGGAATACCTCAAACTACTGCCCAGAGTATACCACAGAAAAGTGTAAGCAGACCTTCAGGAATACCTCAAACTACTGCTCAGGGCACTATTCCTCGTCAAATAGCGGCTCCCTCTGGAATACCTGGAGTTCGTCGACCCGCCACTCTTCCTCAGAAAACAGTTGAATCAACACCCCAGCCACAACTCAGGAAGCAAACACTTGCCGTTCCATTGGAGGGTACTCCAGACAGAAAGAGTCCCTCCCCAGGGACCTTTGCTCCTAAGACGGAACGGGTACTACCTGTCCAATCCAATATATCTAAACCATCCAAGCCGTACGGAATAGGAGTTAATGTACCCAAGTCTTTATTAACGGATCCTAAGATGTTTCACAGATCTGACAGGGTAACCCCTGAGGATCGGAAAAGACCACCGTCGAGGGAGAGGCAGCAAGCACCAGGCTCTTTAGAAGATCAAGTCAATCAATCGCTCTATAGAAAATCTTCTGATAAACAAAAGAAAAAGGTTTCTGCAAAAGGTGATTCATTCCTAATTGTTTTTTAATATCTTCTGCTCGCGATTTTGTCTGTGTGGACTTCAATACTTGGGTTCAGAGAGAAATGGAATATGCAACAAATGTCGACTATACAGGGTATTTACTTACTACGGTACATAACTTCAAAATAAAACACAAGCGACAAAAAGTTGTATTTTCACTTGATTATTCCAAAAAATAAATGAAAAACTACAACAACAAGTCAGTGGCGTACTTTTTCTCCCAATATTGTTGACTGAGGTGCCCACTGAGACTTCACTGGACCCAAAAATTTCTATCTAGTTAGGGCTTAATAAGCGCCCTTTTACTTCCAATAACTGTAGCAAATTTCAACCAAATCGGTATAAGGATATTCATGATATTTCATAAATACCGTTTTTTTTCAAACTTCAATGCCCTGTATCTCATAAAAGAATGTATCTCAGAAACAGAGCAACTCCGGACATATGTTTACAAGAACTGTTAATAATTTTTTAATTTTCATCTCGTGTTGATAGATCAATTTTTTGATTTTTCGGTTGTTGCTTGTATTTCATTTCATTGTAATTTCAGTTTTTTTGCATAATATAATTGTTATTTTTCAACTAATCTTTTTAATTTTTTACAGATTTTTTCAGGTATTTCAAATCAATTTATATCACAGTAAACAATGGAAATCTGAACTAATAAAATGCACCACGAAACATTGTCAACCACCTTCAAACAAAAGCAAGAATACTTTCTAAACAAATACTTTTATATCAACATTGAATTATAGTAGTTTGTAAGGAGATAACCAAAAACACTACGAGTAAATAATCAAACACCCAACAAACCAAACCATTCGAATTATCGAATACCCTAAAGAACGTTCTAATGAGAAAATATGACTGAAATATAAATTTTGGTTTCTGAATGAAATATCAAAATTTCGATCCGTACTGAAACTTAGGCGACAAAAAACAAGAAATATAGAATAGGTTATTTCAAAAATTCAAACTCACTTTCTACAAGTTGACTTGAGTTATTGATAAATATTTTGAAGTTGAGTCACATTAAAATTGAAATTTGATTTATATCTTTTTTGAAGTCAGTTATGAAGAATTTGAAAAGTTTGAAAAACCTATAATAGTGAAGTAAAAGATGAACCTGTGAAGGAACCAACCAAAATTCTTGAGAGAAGCTTTGAAAGAATGGATGGATGAGAAATATAAATTTGAAAATATCAGGCCGATATCATTACTGTTATAATCATCATTTAATAAAGACATTAAAAGAAGGCAGATATATTTTAATATATTCTAATCGAATCAAATCTTTTGAGATAAACGTAGTTATCAGTCATAATATTTTGTATTTCGTCGAATTGTAAGAATAGTATATTTTCATTTAATGAACATTTTGTAATTTTTTCTTCTATGGTTTCAAAATTTTAAACCATAATGGTATATTTCAGTTGGTATTCTGCTCTCTGCTTTCTGAAGCAATTCAGCATATGCCATTCTATATTTATGTTCATTTCGAAGGAAAAAGAGTAACAACGGCCGAACCAGAAGTTGTCGAAACGCCTGCTGGTAGACAACCAGTATTGCAAAAAGGTGTTTTCGAACGAAGAATGGAAAGAGGTGCTGAAGGAGAGAAGCTGGTCAAAAATCTTGCGTTAACCGAGTTCGATGAATCATTAGGGGAAACTGGTATGGTGGAGGTGGCGGTGCAACAACTAGATCCACAGTTACCAATGAAGGAGGGAAAGGAAGTTATTGGCGTTACCAGTACAGTAACTGTGACTCCTAGCTACACGACAATCTCTAGAGAAGTTCTGCGTACCATTACCGAACCTCTCGATCATGGAATCACTATGAAGCCGGCCGATGTAGCCCAACTCGTGAGAGAAGAGAAAGAAGATGTAGAAAATACTTTGAAGATGATACCTCCTGACCTGAATTTGTCTCCTGGAAAGTTTGAAGTAAAACAGCGGCTTCAACAGCTCAGGCTCAATTCCGAATCTATGGCACTTTTGGAAGAGTCAATTATGCAACCAGAGGTTACTGCTGACGAGGCGCAGTCAGAACCGACTCCAGAGACAATGGCTAATATGATGCATACGGTAGAGAATGGAATATCTCCCAGAGCTGCCCCAGATCAGGTATGAAACGTAGCTGTTTTCTTATTTTTTCACTGCATTATTTATTCATTTATATCCAGTAGAATACAAAACGGGACAAACCCAAAGAGAGTTTTCACAAATGATGAAGTAAAAATAACAGTAAATGATTTGATTGTATTACATAATATGCGATATCGTGTTATTAACAGTTGTTGATCAAGTGTAGTGCAAATTGCAATAGTTAGAGATGAAAATGATTATATGAACGTTTGAGAGACGTGGTGAAGGTTCCGAGGGAATTAGACAAGATGTCAATATCTATTAATTTGGATATAGAGTTGTAAAATTTACAACACCTATTTACATACATTGATTGAAAGTTGATTCAATACAATGCTAATATCGTAACAATAAAGACACATTATTATTATTATCATTATTATTTTTTCACCGTAGTGTGCGCTGGTCAGGCCCTATCCCCCGAAGCCCCGATANCAGAATGTCACAAGATTATCAATATCGTTTTGTATGAGAAGTGAATCATTGGTACATGTCACAGTATGGAATACTTTCGTCAGCGTACATTAAACAGTAGGAGAAACAACGACTAGATATATTGTTAATATAAATGTTGAAGAGAAGAGGCCCCAAATGGAAACCCTGAGCAACTCCGGAAGTACTATTAATGAATCTAGAACTGAACTTTCCCAGAGTGACTGGCCGAGACTGTTTGGTAATATACAACTGAAACCATCCCAGCAGATGAACATGTGTACCGATTTCTGCCAGCTTATCTAGTAGAGTTGCATGATCTATCTTTTAGAATGCTTTGCTGAAATTGGTATAGATGGTATCAACCTGGTAGCCTTTATCCGTGTTCTTCAAGAGATATTCAGTATAGATAAATAAACTGTTTTCAATGGATGGAGAGTTTTCAAACAATAACTCATTACCACTTTTCCATATTTTTGGGAAATAGCTTTTTTGATAGACTCATTGAATGAAATAAATAGGATATGAGACATTTCTTGAGTGCAACAGGTGAGTGTAGTCCACGCCAGGTGCTTTCTGAGGAAGATCCATAATCTTTCTAAAAAATAGTATTTTGAGGGATGTGATAAGGACTTAGTGAAGAGCTGCTAGCTAATCTATTAGTATCTGATTGGTTCATTTCAATTGCCGGGTTAAATGAAGAAGCAAAAAACTCTGCAAAAAACGTCACATATCTTCTGCCCGTCTGTTGAAAGTATTTTGACTTGATTGTTTATAGCATTGATTGTGGAGTGACCGCCCTTTTTCGGCTTTAAAAATTGCCAGATTTGTTTGGGATCGGAAGTTATTCCGATTTCTACTTGGTTTATATAGGTATTGCAGTTAAAGTCGATCAGAAATTGTGACTTGCCTCTCAAAAGTCAATATTGTTACGGAAAATTTTCCACTTTTTATAAAGTTATTTCTTTTCCCTGACCGTCATTATAGTATGTGCACTAAACCAATGGAGGGAATTCAGATTTATGTTTAGCATATTCCAGTACATATTGTCTAATGTTTATATCTCTGACATAGTACATTTTGGAAACACTGTCCTCAGAGTTTAAGGGTAAGAATTCGCTATCCCAATCAAATGCACCAAATAAATTGCGAATTGAGACAAAGTCAACTTTGTTGAAGTTTCAAGAAGGCTTTTCTTGACATAAATAGAGTTTATTGGAGCAGGTGAAAATATTAATTTGTCTTTAGATTCAGTATCAATTTACTTCTCCTAAAGATGCTAACCTTATTAGCGAAATGCGCGTCGAGTGCAAAAATATCAGTTTGGTGTTAGGGTAATTGATCTCTAGAAAAAGTTTTCAAAAATCGGTTTGCAAAACCCCTCACTACCTCACCTAACCCCACGAACACAGGGCACTGATAAAGAAGTATTGTGAAACGGGCAAAAAATTAGTATTCAGCCAGTCCAGCTAGCCGAGCCTTCATTCCTCAACTACATTTGATAGCACGTTTATTAACTATCTGGGCGACTAAGGGCCACAGGCAAGAAATGTTTATGACTGTACTCTTATTTTTATTGCCGTTCCAATTGGGAATGGATAGACTATACAACGTGTCGATGATTAAAGTATGTGATTTTGTAATTTTGCACTGAAAACCTCCTTCGTCATTTTTATGCTAATTTCAGGTTTTCCATTCTCTATTCTCCGAACCCGCCAATGAGCAGTATATTAAAATGAGTTCGGTGAGTCCCGGTCCACTCCAAGACGTTGTGATTCCGACAGAAGATGTACCTACTGCAGTACATCACGAGTCTGTTTCTGAAAACATGGATAAACTGGCGGACAAATTTTCCAGGATTGCAGAACCACAACAAGTACCGTACGTCGACATTTTTACCAGAGTTATGGATGAAATGAAGAAATCACCAGAGAAAGGTACTGTACACCAACCTTTTGAAATTAGGATAGAATATTAGATTCAGTGCAAATAATAGGTGTGAATGATGTTACATTTTTGAATTAAAAAGAGATGTTATACTTTTTGGTTACCTGCAACATTGAAAATTACTCATGACAGTGATAGACATAATTATACCCTTATAAAATCAAATCTGGTATTGAATGACTTCCAATACGACTTTTTTTAAATAATCTTTTCAAGATTCTTCAATTATTCTAGAGTAGATTGGACTATTTAAAAGATATAAAATACATCATAGACCAATTTCAATCACAGAAAATAGATAGATAGATATAAATACATATGTACTGCAGAGTATTTGTACTCCATCAAAACAGTGGAATAAGTTTTTTGTAAAAGTACGACACAATATAACACAATTTTAAAACTACATACATTTCAAGAATATGTAATTTCATTCACACTCTTTTTTGACACAGAAAAATTCTACAAAATTTATCACGTGAACCCCAAACTGTTATTCCTAGCCCCATGATAGAGTAGAAGTTTGCATAATATTATGTTAGTAGTACTTCGTGATCAACATATTTTTTAAGTACTCTTATCCCATATATTACTGAAGACAAACTACTGCATACCTATATTGTCTATCTGAATTGTCCAACTCAAAGTATCATCAATGTGGATGCCCAGAAACTTCACTGAGGTATTGAAAATAATGTTTTCGTTATCAAGTATTATGTTATGTGGCGTTTCTGAATTGTTGTTGGTTTTGAATATGAGGCAGTCAATTTTTCCTTCATTTAGAATCAAATTGTTTTCAAGAAAATATTCCTTGCATTTTTTTATTGCTTCACTTCCGTTCTTGATTATATCTTGTGAAGTGTCGCCAGTCAACAGAAGACTGGTGTCATCAGCATAGTTGATCAGATGAGCAGAATTTACATTTTTTGTAACCTCGCTGATGTCATCTATAAAAATAATGAATACATATTCAGGTATGCTTTTTTATAACAATTATAATTTATTACTATCTGAAAAACAATATAAATTCAACTTATAAGGTACACAAATACATCTTTGAATATAAATATCGAATATATTGGTACAGGAGCATGAAGAAAGTTTCCCTCAGTCATCTCATAAAAGAGCACGTATGTTTTTCTACTCACAAGGGATTTTAGTGAAATTGATAAGACGTGTGAATCGTTGTATTTATAGCACGTGCCTACGGGGGTCTGCAGTAAGCTGTATAATGCCCTCTGTAAGTAGTCCCTCTGTGATTTACAAGTGCATATAGATTATAACCAGCAGCCACATTTTCTGCTGCAAAATTGTCCATATCCAATCCTTCTAGAGGAAATTCGATGAAAACATTCAATTTGCCTCTGAATTTTTCCGTTGGAGAGAATCTTTTTAAATGAATTACTAAAATATGGGGAAACTTGTGGATTGATAGGGACTTTGTGCATTTTCTCCTTCCCTTACATTTTGAACACGTCGGTTTCTCATTCCCATCCAAAGTTTTTTCTCTTGTGAACGAATCCAAGCATTGTCACGAACTTAATTGGTCGGTTCTTTGTGATTTCGAGAGAGACAAATCCCAGAAAAGATCAAAGGTTACTGATGAGTGTCCACAGTGTGTGCATTTTATCGTGGATTTCAATTGACCAACGAAATTATCTTTAATCTTAGAGTTATGCATCATCAAATATGTGAGCCATGACTCTTGTGCATTTCCGCTGTCTCTCAATTTTTCGTCAATCTCCGTTAAGATTGGTTTAGGTTTGTCATTAATTATATTAACGTCTTCACGTAAACCTTCTAAAAGATAACGAAGGAACTCCTGGGGGTATTGATGGGAATCACCCATGAATCGAGGAGCAAAATTTTGAATCTGAGTTTTCAAGGAGACTGTATTTACTACTCTATCAATCGAATCTTCTGACCACAACTCGTGGATGACTTTTGCAAACGCTTTAATTAAAGCATCCTCCATATTAGGAATAGTAGTATTGATATCTTTTATGAATTCATCCTTTTTCAAATATTCCAATAACCATCTCGTGTCTGGATTACGCTGTTCATGGAATAGGTGTTACCAGTAATATTTTTCAACCCATTCAACCCAAGGGTTTCTTCTGAAGAATTTATAACTGGACAATTTGGAATATCTTTGAAAACCATTTCAGAATTTTGCTGATATCGAGTATGCTTTACTCGATATCAGCAACAATAAACAGAGTGGATGGTCGATGTCAGGTGTTTTCATTATTGGAAATCATTTGTGGAAATCATGTCTTATGAACCGGAGTTTTTCATTCTTATTTGAAGACTACTCGAGAACAGCCGATTTCCAATGTTCCGAAAGACTATAGTACAGGTGCTTTACTAGCAATAATATTTAAAATCATTGACAAAGCTGTAAATGAAAATTTTCCCAAATATTTATAATACTTCGACGTCTTAAGCATTTATTTATATGGTTTTTGAAGGCAAAATTGAAGTGTCAAGATCTTCTTTCATACCCTCACCTCTCATACATGGCTTTGTTATGATTTGATACATTGTTTCTGTTCTAAGCTCTCCACCCTTCCCAATAACCCTTCCGTACAAGTGACCTTCGATGATTTTCAAAAACATTCAATATCATAGCTGGTGGAATTGATCAGAAGTATTTTCAATCATCTTTCTGATATACATAATAACAAAACAGAAATCCAATATATTCAACTTCGTTCCAAACACTGAAATAAATGCAAACTGCTCTGAAGAGTATATTAAGTCAAATGAAAGTTATCAAAATTATAACTGAAAAAGCTGCTCCCAACTATCATTTCATCGCCTTCTTGATCAGTGTTACCAATAACGCATAGCTTTTGCATATTTTCTGCGCATTTAACACCCTGCCACTTTGCTGTATCAGAGGAATTTTACCACAGTGTATCAGAGTTCAAACGATTCAATAGTACACTTTATTTTTTCTGCAAAAAAAGTAAAAATGAAAAGACCAGAACCACCTATTCCGCTCTTTTATGTTCTGTGCACTAGATCGCTCAATTATGAAACTTGTCAGAACAGCGATAATAAGAATTGGATTGAGATGAGCAGAAACTTGTGCCTTTGATGTCGCGGAAGTTATTCTATCATCCATGAATGCATTAATTTTTTTTTCAATGAAACGAACTTCTAACGGGTCTAGATTATTTTAGTCGGTAGCTAAAGCTGTTAATCAAAACTTTACAAAATCCACTATTTCCTTACTAACACAAGCGGATGGTTCAATTGCAACAACAGCCTTAGAAAAAGCAAATCTACTAGATGAACAATGTATGTCCCACTCCACAGTAGATTTTCTTTGGAGAGTGTCTTGGTTACTTCTAGACATATTTTCACATTTGTCGTAGTTGATTTGTTATTTTGTTTGTTATGAATGAGATTTTTCAAGAATACATTTTGTATATTCTTTTATTCAATTCGTTGCTGGTAGTAAATTATTTAAATGCAATACGCCTATGGCACTAATATATATACATATACTGCTGTAGTTTCTCTCATTTCTGGACAGGCTATAATAGTTTTTTTTCAACTTTGCAGGTAAGAACAAACCCAGGAGCTTTCAACCTATTTCCGACGAAAAATCCCTGTGGGTTAATGCTAAATTGGAACACCTGGTCAACGTTATTGGGGCCGAACCAGCTGACGTTTTGGGCGCACTCGACATAGAAGAACTCAGCAAATCTGGAGATTTAGAGCAAGAAATGATTAACGGCGTGGAGTTCTACGTGGATACAGACCCTGTTCAGTACATAAATAGGATACAGTTACGCGGCACCCAGTTGCCAAGCTATTTTCCGGGATATATGGTGGCTGTTCCGGACTTCCCTGGCATCGTGCAGATTGCAAGGTCACCTGATGAAGTGTTTGCAACTGCGTGGAAGTCCGTCCAACCAAAATACTTTGCCGATGATTCCCTCAGTGCTGTCAGTTTTTGATCTCGTGAATTTCAAGTGTTTTCTAATTGTAATTCGAGTCAAATTCGCGATTCAATAATATATTTCATATAAATAATTCATTGTCAATAAAGATTTAGGTCTTTGGTTCGATTAAAAGTATATTTTTTATAAACATGAGGACACTTCATTCAATTTTGAAAATAGATTTTCATATTTCCAGTAGGAAAATTGGAATTCGAATGGAAATCTTATTGAAAAGTTGTATATGAATATAAATGAAAGATTTAGGTCTTTGGTTCGATTAAAAGTATATTTTTTATAAACATGAGGACACTTCATTCAATTTTGAAAATAGGTTTTCATATTTCCAGTAGGAAAATTGGAATTCGAATGGAAATCTTATTGAAAAGTTGTATATGAATATAAATGCACGAATTTTCTTAACATCTATTTGTTGTAATTACTATTTTTTCAAATACAAAATAATGTTTATGAATAATTTTTCTGAAAAATTTTTTAATATGACTTTCATTATTTGGGTGCTGATTGTTTTTGTCTATAGACAACTTTTCGTTTACTAACATATACCTTCTCTATTTATTTCAATACATTTATATTCTTTGTTGCAGCCACGTATTGTCTTTTCTGTTATTTTCGTTATAAAACAATAGCAACGAAGTCGATATTTTCCTCATTTTCTCTGTTTCAGAGAGTAGACAATCTATAAAGCATATATTTTGAGTTTGAAGACGCTGAGTTGTTTAGTATTCGTTTCGCAGCCATCAATAGCGAACGTTTTCGTTGAATTTGTGACAATTGTGAAAATTGGTCATCGTTATGTGTTACAATACTTTTATTCGAAACACCTCAGCCCAACCAATATGAAAGCTGTACTGGATTCTACTCTGGGTGAATCTGCCCCTTCGTTTACAATAGTAAAATATTGGGTACCAGAGTTCAAACGAGGCCGTACGAGATGCTAAGACAAACATCGCAGTGAGCGACCAAATGAGGTGACGACTTCATAAACGGTGAAGAAAATTCACAAAGCGGTACTGAATGAAAGTCGATTGGAAGTGCGGTACATCTTATATTATCTGAAATTTCGACATGAGAAAGCTGTGTGTAAGATAGGTGCCGCGTTTGCTCACATTCGAGGAAATACAGTGTCGTGAAGACGTATTCGTGTTAAGTGAAGTATCACCAACAAAGCAGAATTCTTGCATCTGCAGGCACGGTCATGACATGGGTTTTTTGGTATAACATTTCTTATTATAAAAACGGTATCGAATTTTTTGAAGGTCGCTGGGAAAGGTTTATAGAGCTGCAAGAAAAATAATGATTATGTTGAGAAATAAATGCATTTGTTTCTTTAGAAATTTCTAAACATTAATATAAATTGTTTTCAAATAAGCCCATCTGAGACCTAAAGAATTGATATATCAATATTGACACTCTGGAAATATTGTCAGAAAACTTGATACAGTGAGAACAAGGGACGATGTTTGCAAAGTTTTTCAATTTTGTAACACGTTTTTATTAACTTCACTTGTATGTTCGTTTGTAACCGACTCCTTTTGACTCGATTTTGACTAACTTTGAACGGAAGGATTTATTTTAAACTTTGTACATATATCAAGGATCGGTGACAATACAGTAATTTCATTAGGTTATCTCATTATCCTGATCAGGATCGCCAGGATTCAATAAGTGAGATAACCACAATGTCTGCGTGTGCGTATATATTTAATAATAAAACAAATGGGCTTGAAATAACAAGGCAAACTAAACATTGGAAAATGAATAATAGTATTAAAAAAACTAAAAAAAAAACGTTTTAATAGCAACATAAACTAAAAAATTAATGATTCGATACTAATTTGAGATTGTGTTCAACATCGATAATAAGTCCTATGGCTTCATGTAACTAATGAATTTCAATAATCTAATCTGAAATCAGAATGAATCTATTTACCAAAATAGACTTACAAAAATAGACTTATTAAAAGTCATTAGTTACATCAAGCCATATAACTAATTATATCGATGTTGAACATAATTTTGAAGTAGTTCCGAATTATTTTTCAGTTTCTGTTGCTATTGAAGCGTGTTTCTTCAGTTTTTTAAACTATTATTAAACTACAACATTGAAGTGTACCTATTATAATACAAATAAACATAAGATAATATGCGGTTCATTTTTTTGTGACAGTGATAAAAAGGTTTCAAAGCTTATTTATTATAAAGTAGTTATTGTTGAACATTTTCACTGGCACAGAATAATGAACCGCATAGTATCTACAAAATTTTTTGTTGTTAAAGAAATATACTTTGATGATAAAGTTTGAGAAACACCATCGTGCTAAGACTAGCACGTTGAAAGGTAATACTTTGCTAATCTTTAGCTCGTACAAGTTTCGATTTTTCCGGATTGCCGTTCGTAGTGGGGCGGTAGCTGATTGCCGGAAAAACGGATTTCAACAGAATTCATCTGTCATAGATAAGAACATAGATAATGTGTGTCCATGCGAATGCTTTCTCCTGACTGGTCCGCACATTTGCTGCGTCGTTGTTATCCCCACCGTCATATTCATCCTTATCCCTAGCATTTTCCAAAGTTATAAATACGAGTGAACATGTAGCTCGTTAGTCAATCGTTGCTGAGACTTCAAGATATAACCTTAGGCCTTGCAGTCAACGCACATAGCATTGATGATGCCTGCCACAGTAGCAGACAAAATTTTTGATTATTCAGGATCCATTCGATCACATTCTACTAGCCCCGATGTTTTTTCTTTAATCGTGACTTTGGCCGTGAAATCATATGTTCTTATATCATTCAAATTTTTTTTTTGAAAATTTATCAGTAGATGGTGAGTTTGAATAACATCCTTTCGAAAAGTGATTTTCAACTTCACTGCTAGTTTTCACTTGAATAAACAAATTTCTCTTTGGAGAGTCATATAATTATATTTCAGAATAAAATTTGAAGGTTTTTCGAACAACCGCTGGATAAATTGACAAAATTACTATTGGCATACATTTTACATCCTTCCGGAAAGTAATTTTCACCTTCACTGCTGGTTTTCACTCGAATGAACAATTTTCTCTCTGGACATTGATATAATCATCATTTTCGAACAATATTCAGCTATTTTCAGTCGAAGAACAATATTTCTAAATGAAATTTCAAGAATTTTTCTACAACCGCTGGAGAATTTGACAAAATTACCATTGCCATACATTTTACATGAATTATATTTCAACAACAAAAGCATAACCTTCAAACAAAAACGTAATACTGCACCTGAGGTTTCAATGGCGAGGATCGAATTTGAATTACCCTGTATGTCACGATTTATTTTCAATAATACATACTTCGTGATTCCATGAATGATTCTCTGGAATTTAAACAGCATTGAAAGTTTGAACTATTCAGCATCACTATCTCTACCGTTATTCAACTACATTTTAACGTTAGACATGTTTATAACAATATTTCAATCTCAATAAAGTCGTGCACCTCGCAGCTTTCGCCACACCCTAGCGATCTTAATTCATTATCGGTGAGTTGCGTATAATTTGTTTTCAAACATCAATGATGAAAGAAATGGTAAGTATTCACAATAGGTTTATCGCCATAACTGAAATATGGAACGATGAACAACTTCTTGAATAAAAATATCTCTTATAAAAACAATGCCTTTAATAATAATGCCGTACATTGAACTCTATCAAATATTTCATCCTTAAACCTCCGATAATATATTTTTTTATATACTAGAAATTCATACTTCGAAAGTTCCATCAAATTATGCAGCCTCATTTCCTTCCAGGCCAGTATGGCCAGGAATCCAGACCAGAGACAATCTGTTAAGTCTGCCTATCGAGGAGAGTCGTAGAGAGACATACTCAGAGAATGACTGTTTGTACTAAGAGCATATGTTTTTTTTTTCGTAACATTTTCCGAAGAAGTCAATATTTTCTAATTCTGTTTGCAAGAGTTGATTGTTTGAAGTTGCTTCAAGAGCAGAAAGTCTTTAAGATGTGTGAAATGAAAATATTTTTTCATTGTTTCTCTGTTGACGTCATGTATTCTTCTTGCAATTCAACAAACAATATTCAATGTTTCAATGGATTTTTTTAAATCCCACTGACTTTTTGCCTCGAGTAATAATTTCCTTCAACAAATTTGGATTTCTTGAAAATATTAAGTCGTTTTTATGGAAGAAGTCATGAAAAATTGAACGAAAACGTTCGCTTTTGAAAGTCGCGTATACTCCCAAAGAGGTATACTCTGAAAAGGTATTGAAGATAGTGTGTAAGTTTATGAGAGACTGTCAGTTCTTGAAGTAATGCAAATTTCGGTTGAAATAAGAGCAACTGCTGAAGAAACGAGAAGAACCAGCAAAAATTTCATCTACGAGCACCAGGAAAGTAGTTATTTTCCCAGTGGCTTGGAAGAGTTGAATGTTTCTATTTATTGAATTTCATTAGTTTTTACTTTTATTGTTCATAGTTCATTTTCTATTTAATAAGGAATGTGGAATTTTTCCATACTCAAAGGGTGGGGGTTCGAAGTTTTTTCTGTCTAAAATGATTAACCTGGTCGAGATTCATGTCTGATAGACCCGACCTGCAAAAATTTCTGTCCTCCTACAAGATTACAAGAGCAATGTCTACTGAGAACAATTTGCTGACCTGCAGACCTGCAAAATAGTTATACCCAATGAACACTTGCGTCAATGTTGCCTTGAAAATGTGCGATGGAGCCGTCAACTTTTTGTCATAAACTACATATAGGTCACTATTCCACCGAAATCGTAATGCTATTGCACAACTGACTGTTAAGACGTTGTTTCTCTGAAGTGATTGGACGATCAGCTGATAATTCAACAGTGGCGCAACTACCTACATGTGGCAAAGACTTGTACTACATTTACAAGGACGTTCCTTCGAGTTCGGGTGAAGTATCTGAACTTCTCTATGCACTTAAGTCCATTTCGCAAAATTTTGCAGTTACGTCATAGTAGTTGCGGAGCACATATGCTAGAAAATTGCCACAGAAATTGTCTGGACCGACAACTTATGTGCATTCAACAAAGAGGTCGTCAATACGAGCATTCAATTAAGATTGCCATGAAGCTTTGATTTTCCGTATTGGTTTAATTTTT